ATAATCATGCCTCTCTGGTGGTTCAAGTCCACTTGATTTGAGAAGACTGACAATATTCTGTATAATACATAGTTTTGGAAACCCAATGGAGGGTCAGTGATGGGTCAGTTCTGACTCAGTGGCAATGATATATTTTAAAAATTATATGTAATTGAAGTGGTCATGAAAACTCATTAATGAACAAAGACCAGCAGCAGTATGGACTGCATCTCAATGTCAAGAAAATAAAGATCCTCACCACTGGGACCATTGACTCTATCCTGATAAACGGAGAAGGGATTAAGGTTGTTAACATTTTTATAAATCCACAATCAGCACTCCTGGCACCAGCAGTAAGGAAATCAAAATACACATTGTTTTGGGAATATCTGTTGTGAAGCACTTCTCCAAAATGCTAAAGTGCAATAATGAGGTCAGGTAGAGACACAGTGTGCCTGATCCAGGTCATGGTCTTCTCAATTGCTTATTATATATTTGAGATCTGGACAATAAATAAAGACAACAAAGAAGAATAGATGCCTTTGAGTTGTGGTGCTGGAGAAGAGTATTGAACACACTGCAGACAGCCAAAGGAACAAATTGGTCAGTTCTGAAGAGGGTAAAACCAGGTTGCTCTCTGGAGGTAAGGATTTTGAAGTTCCATCTCACATACTATAGGCATGTTGTCAGGAGGGCCAGCCTCTTGAAAAGGCCATTATGTTTGGAAGGGTAGAGGGGCAGCACAGGGGAGGAATAGCTTGGGTAAGATGAATTGATTGACACAGTGCCTGCAGTAATGTTGTCAGGTGTGTCAGATGGTAACATTGGCTCACAATAAGGGAAAATTCAGAGCCATTGTTCATAGTGTTGCTACAAGTTACAGCTAACATGACCTACATAACAAGAACAACAATAATTGGAGGGTCCCTCTGGTTGCCTAGAGCATAAAGAGTTTGGCTCCCAACTCAAGGATAAGTGGTTTAATTCTCCTGCTCTGCAGGAGAAAAATGAGCAATCTCCTTCCTTGGAATGTATGTTGTTGTTGTTGTTGTTATGTGCTGTCGAGTCGCTTGTGACTAATAGTGACCCTATGTACAATAGCTCTAAACTCTGCTCTATCCTGTGCCAGTCTCTGACACACTCATCCTGAATGCCCCAGTCACTGAATCGATCCATCTTCCAGAGGGCCTTCCCCTCCTGCGTCTGCCCTCCGCCCTCCCAAGCATGATATCTTTTGCCAAGGACCGGTCTCTCCTTACAACATGACCAAAGTATGTCAGACTAAGCCTCAGAATCCTTGCCTCCAAGGAGCTGCCCGATTTAACCTTCTCCAGGATGTATCTGTTTGTTTTCTTAGCAGTCCATGGCACCCTCAGCACTCTTCTCCAACACCAAAGCTCAAAAGTATCAATTCTCCTTCTGTCCTCCCTGGTCATTGTCCAGCTCTCAACCGCATAACAAGTGATTGCAAAGACCATGGCCTGTACCAGACGCACCTTAGTCTCCAGAGACACACCATTGCTCTTGAGTACTTTAGACAGGACCCTAACAGCAGACTTTCCCAACACAATACATGTTTTAATTTCCTGGCTGCTGGTGCCAAGAGTGTTGATTGTGGAGCCAAGCAGACTAAAGCTGTGAACAATCTCAATCTCTTCACCATCCATCCTGATGCTGCCAATTGGTCCAGTGGTGAGAATCTTTGTCTTCTTGACATTGAGCCTCAAGCCTTACTGAAGGCTGCAGTCCTTGACCCTCTGCAGCAAGCGCTTCAGGTCCTCCTCAGTTTCAGCAAGCAGGGTTGTGTCATATAACGCAGATTGTTGATAGATCTTCCACCAGTCCTGATGCCGCATTTCTCCTCATAGAGCCCAGCCTCCCGGATGATCTTTTCTGCATACAGGTTGAAAAGGTATGGAGACAGGACACATCCCTGGCGTATGCCCTTCCCAATTTTGAATCATGAAGTTTTTCCTTGCTCTGTTCTGACGACTGCCTCTTGGTCCAAGTATAAGTTTCGCATTAGAATGATCAAATGTTGTGGAAATCCCATTCTTCTCAGAGTCAGCCACAGTTTGTTATGGTCCACACAGTTAAATGCCTTTGCATAGTCAATGAAGCACAGATAGACATTCCTCTGGTATTCCCTGCTCTCAGCCAACATCCATCTGACATTAGCTACAATATCCCTAGTACCACGGCCCCTTCTAAACCCAGCCTGGACTTCTGGCAGTTCTCTGCTGATGTGCTGTTCCAGTCGTTTTTGGATAATCTTCAGCAGAATCTTGCTTGCATGTGAAATCAATGATATTGTTCTATAGTTTCCACACTCTGTTGGGTCACCTTTCTTTGGAATGGGAACAAATATAGATCTCTTCCAGTCAGTTGACCAAGTATTTGTTCTCCAGATTTCTTGATACAACTTGGTGAGCACATCCAGGGCAGCATCTGTGAGCTGAAATATGTCAATTCGTATACCACCTATTCCTGGGGCCTTTTTTTTTGCTATGTACTTCAAAGCAGCTTGAACTTCTTCCTTCATCACCATAGGCTCTTGCTTATATGTGATTTCATTAAATTCTTCTGTGTTTTCCAATTCCTTTTGATACAATAACTAAGTAAATTCTTTTCATCTTATTTTGATACCTCCTGGATAATTTAGTACTCTGCCTAAAGCACCCTTGATTATAGCAACTCGAGGTTTTAATTTGTTCTTTAGTTCCTAGAGCCTAAAAAATGCTGAGCGAGTTTGACCCTTTTGGCTTTCTGATTCCAACTCTCTGCACATCTGATTGTAATATTTTACTTTGTCATCCTGTGCTGCCTTCTGAAATCTTCTGTTCAGCTCTTTAGTATCTTGAATTCTTCCTTGTGCTTTGGCTTCTCTGCACGCCAGTGAAATATTCAGAGTTTCTTCTGACATCCATTTTGGTCTTTTCTTCCTCTTCTGTCTTTATAAAGAACGTTTCTACTCTTCTTGGAATTTATAGCTTCTGAAAACCCTCCTGATGGTCATTTATGAGTCTCTTGCAATTCAAGGATATATAATAACAACAACAATAATGTATGTATTTTGGGAGATATACATTCAATACAGGTAAATATATATTGCATTTTAGCAGATGACAACAGTCTGAGTGAGATAAATTAGTAAAAGAAGGAAGATCAAATAGAATATGTGTGTAAAAAGTAAAGTCAAGGAAGAAATCTCTGAGAAGATAGAATTTTGTATATGCCTGGCTTGTTTAAGAGGCCACACTAATGAAAAAGAGTAGCTGATATGAGAAGTAGATGTGTTACAATAGGAAAGATTGCACATGACCTATAGGCCAATGCATTATGTTTTACTCTTCCTGGAATAGGTAGCCGCTGAAGGGTTTTAAGCACAAAATTTACATGAGTTAACTTACACTGCAACATAATACCCTGTATTTGTTACTGTGATAATGATTATAAAGGTAGAAGTAGGAGAACCAGTAAGTGTAATATTGTAATTTACAAGAAATTATTGATTTAATGAAGATTGTATCTGTAATTCAATTAATTGTAATAATCTGGTTAGAGATAACTGCATGGACCTTGAAAAGCATAAAGAGCATGAGTAGAGGTCAAATAATGGATTTATTTTGAAGATGTAAGTATTATTTCCACCTGAGTCAATTATGAGACAATAGGTGAAAAATAGTATCAAAGACAATTGCAAGTTGTTTATTTTATTATTATTATTTTGTGTGTGATGTGGTGAGAAATTAGAGTATTAAAGTTAACATTAACTGAAATACATAATACTTCCGTATCTGTTTTGTGGGGTATAGGTTTCAAGGTACTAATTTTTAGAAAGTTATGTGATATGTAAAAATAGGCATTTGATAACTGGGAGAAAAGAAAAAACTAGAGGTATTTAATTGGTGCTGATAGAACAATGGAAGGTTTCTGGAGTCAAGTATTTCCAGGGGAGTGAAGGTAGAGAGCGAGGAGAAAGTACTTCCTGGTGGAGGTGGAGCAGGATCGATGAAGGAGCCCGTGGGAAAACGGCAGGTAGAGATGGATAAAAACTAAGACAGATGAATGTACTGTTAGGAAAGGAAGGTGTGACATGGAGGACAAAGTGACATGTACGAACTCCTTCACATAGTTAAAAATCAGTCACTAGATTAAACACAGAGGTCAATAATAACTTTGAAAAGTTTTTATTTCATAGCAAGGCTAATATATGAGATGGGCTAAAGAGAGAATACGAAGAATTATATACAAAGAGTATATTCAACATCCAAAATTAGTTAATTGGATAAAAAAAAGTAAAGGACATAAAATAAAATTAGAAAAATTAAAAATATTGATAATCTAAAAGACAAACAAAACAAAAAGACACAAACAGCAACCACCAAACCCAAAGAATTAGATTTCTTTGAATAGTGTGAGAAAGTATAAAAACTCATACTTTTCATTTCAGGATATAAGATGAATTAGCAATGCTAACTACATATATTCCTATGACTTTTATAGTAACTTTAAAATACTTTTTTTTTTGGAAAAAATAGAAGTGCCACTAAATCTAGTAAAAATAGTGTAAGACAAGAAAAAATATCCTCAACCATACCTACACATTCATATTCAAAGACATAAATCCAAAATAAGAGAGAGAACAAATGATTTAAAGAGATGCCTTTACATATTTCCACATGTTAAGTTCATCGAAGTCCATTTTATCATGTGCACATCTTTGATTATTTCAAATTTAAATCTTTAGTCTTTAAAAAAATTAAGTAGAAACCTAGGACTTTTTTTTTACTTCACATGAAACTCAATACTAATATTTTATTTCTACATATTTTAAAGGTCTACCGGGCTAAGTCATTTTTTTACTCACTGGAAAAGCTTTTTAACTTATATAATTCATCCCAAATTATGATATTTTTGAAAGTGTGTAGATAATCTATGCCATTAGGGAAAATTATGGAGAAAGCATCTCACAGGTAGCATTCAGGAAGAAAAGACTGCAAGTGTTATGAATCACTTACCTCCCTAATGTCTCTTTGATATTTAGTATTCATTTCTTCCGTTTTAATGAGATCCTTTCTTGCTGTCTCTGCTTCCTGTTCCACCTCTCCCACTCTAGAAGACAAGGCTGCTAAGCGTTCTTTCATTTGTGCCATTTCATAGTTTTGTTTTTCAAGCAATTCTTGTAGTTCAACTATTTGACTAGTATCATCAGTTGAGTCTATAGAGCCATTGGACAAACGCTGCAGGAAAAGAAGAAATTGGTTCTTAGTATTTTATTCATATGTAATTTAAAATTCATGAACTCAGAAATACAACTGATATATCTTTGACGCTTAAAAGTAAAAAAACAAAAACAAAACAAAAAACACCTTTTGCAAATAACAATTTTGAAGTAAACTAAGTTTCTGTGTAAACTCCCAAAATTGAAATGTCAAGACATATAACCAATTTTCAATTACAAAAAACAGTACATTTGGAGTAAAAGAAATATCTGTATGTATCTGTATGTACGTTATTTTGTCTCATTGAGTTGGAATCAACTCAAGCTTGCCCCTCTAGTGGGCTTTCACAGGCTGGGGGGGAAAAAAGTGATTACCCGTCTTTCTTACGTGGAGCAGCGGGTGGATTATTACTGTAACAAGCTTTAGTGTTGACAGCATATTTCCTTACCACTAGGTGACCAGAGCTCCATATATATAATCTTAGAGGTTGTAGTTATATGCCATTGAGTCAGACTGACTCATAGTTGACTCTCCAACAGGTTTTCAGAGTCTATAAACTGCACAAGAGAAGACTGTACACCTTTCACCCACAGAGCTGCTGGTGAATCAGATCCACTTGCAGCGGTCCTGCATTGGTTTTCCTAGGCTGAAAATCTTTATAGCAATAAATTACCCATCTTTAGTCCTAGCCATGTGGTGGAATTGAACGGCCGAGTTTTTGTTCACAGAGCAACTTGAAATGTGCTATTCTATAAACACAAATAAGGGTGTTGTAGTGGTTTAGTGCTATGGGTATACATACGTTTACATACCTATAATAAGGGCGCTCAGGTGGCCTAGTGGTAAGGAACTGTGCTGTAAACCCCAAAACACGTGATTTGAATCTATCATCTTCTCCACGGAAGAAATATAGGAAATATTCTTCCATGCAATTTACTACCTCTAAAACCCCACTAGAAGATCAACTATGATGTCACACAATCTGTGTGTGTGTGTGTGAGTGTGCATGTGTAATTATTAGATATTGTTTTGTTTGTTTTTTGTGTGTGCATGCTGACAAATCTGAATCAACTTATAGCTGACCTTCCAGCATGTTTTTAGAGGAAGGTGTAAATTGCATAGGAGGAAATTTCCCATCTTCCCTTGAGCAGCTGGTGGAATCAAACGGCCTGCCTTCGGGTTTGCAGCACAACTCTATATCCTCTAGGCCACAAGTAGGCCTCCATACCCACTAGGCTAAGGGGCACTTGGTTATTTATCTGAGAGGCACCTACTTCCTAAACAACATGCCTCTGGACACCCTATGAACTTTGAGATACAATGACAGTTATAGAAAGGCTTCAGGTCTTTTGTCTATAAGGTGTCTATGAGTTGTGCTCAACTCAACAGCAATCAGCAACAACAACAACATAAACATTTATTCTCTATCTATAAATGTGTAAATATTTATTCTATAAATGTTTGGAATAACTATGTGTTTGTGCTGAAACACACATATTTTAACACAAAACACATAAGAGCATTCAGTTAATGATAGCTATTATTTCAATCAATGATATAGAAAACTTAATAAATGGCATTATATTAAAGTAACAGAATGTTATACAATAATAAGGATGCTGAAACTATGCAAGGTTTTCTGTTGTGATTCAATATATCTGTGAATATTCAGGTTTTGTTTTCAATGTATCTCAGTATATATAGAATTATGGCGGCCTGGTGGGTACGGCAACCACGCTATAAGTAAATGCTGACTTGACAGCAATGAGTTTGTCAGTCAGAAACACACACACACAGAGAGGGAGAGAGAGAGAGAGAGAGAGAGAGAGAGAGATGCTAATTGAACTTTGATAAATGTGCATAGTTGTAGAGGGTCTTCAGGCCTTTTATCCATAGGATCGCTTATAAGTCATGCTTGACTCAAAGGCAATCAACAACAACAAAAACAACATTTGAAAGGTTGGCTATTCAAGTCTACCAGCTACTATGTAGAAGAAAGATGGTGTGGGGTCCTTTCAGTAAAAAATTAACAGCCTTGGAAACCTGATGATGTAGTGTCTTGCTGAGACATAACTGCATTTTATGTATGCATACTGTTATGATTGTAGGTGCCAAGAAAGTTGAAAACATCTCATAGTGATCTTATGAACAACAGATCTGAATTTTACATTATCTTGAACCATCTTCACTAGCTCCATCATGATCAAGCTAATTTTTATAGTCTCTTGATAATTCATCTCATTGATGAGATGGGCATTCTTTTCCACTGTTAATCTGCCTTTCCCAGTGGTATGTCTTTTTCAAGGACTGGACCTTCTTAAAAGTATGTCCAAAGTATGAGAGATAAGGATTATCAATCCTTGTTCTACTTGAAGCAGGAGCGGCATCAACTTCTGAAATGGCTTGCCTCCAGAAACTCTATGTATGAACAGTGCTCAGGCAGTTCGTTCATAGGGTCGCTATGAGTCGTCTACGACTCGACGGCATCAAACAACAACAACATCCTTGTTCTAAGGAGCTCTCTGGTTGTACTTCTTCCAAGAAACATTTACTTGTACTTTCAGCAATTTTAGAATAGTCAGTATTTTTTTTCCATATCACAATTCAAAGGTAAAGATTTTTCCTCAGTCTCCCTTATTCAGTGTCAAGTTTTTATGTATATAGGAAATGACAGAAAATACAGCATGACTTGATTCAGGTGTAACATAGTCTTTAAACTTATGTCTTTGTGAGATATTTGATAGCAGATTTCCCCAATGCAACATGACTTTGAATTCTTAGCTGTTGCATGGGTTTTGATTATAGATTAAGAGAAATAATTGACAATTTCAGTCTTTCCATCATTTATCATGATGTTACCTATTGGTGCAGTGGTGAGGGTTTTTTGTTTATATATGATGTGGGCAACCTAGGTAGAACTATCAAGTATGGAAATACAAAGGAGGAGGAACAGTTGTAAGCAGACCCTAGTGCTTGGTACATGGAATGTGAGAGCCATGAATGAAGGAAAATTAGAAATTGTTAAGAAAGAAATGGAACGCA